ATTAAAATACTTTTAAAAAGTTGTATTTTTTTAAAATAAATACATATCACACCAACCCGCCCTACCAATTGACATCCCTAATCACAAGGATAAGCATTCTCTATCTTAAAATTTAAACCCCCCCCTTCTTCACTGCTTAGAAGATAGCTTCATAAAAAGACTAAGTTTTTGAACACTCAGAAGGTTCACTTTCTGAAGGACAAATTTTTAAGATAGACAAAAATTCAACCTCCCCCCTTTTTGTTGCATAATATTCACTTTAGAATTTCTTTCTATGTTCCTTCTTGGGTCTATGACTTCTAGGCTTTTGTTTATAGTGGTCATTCATGTATAAGCTATCTTTATGGTGACTTGAGTGATGGCTCTTGGAAGAGCTACTACTACTACTACCACACATTTTCTTTCTTTTCCGGGAGCTTTTGTTGTTCTTTAAACTCTCCGAGCTCTAGCTCTACATGTGCTTCCATTTCTTCCATCTCTTTCTTTTTTCTTTCTTTTTCTAACATTTCTTCTTTTTTCCAAAGCTTAAGTTCTTTTAGATCACACATAAGCTTTCCAAGGTTTGGAGGTTGTTGGAGAGAAAGATACACACTAGATTGGAGGGGTTTGTATAGTGTATATAAAAAACGTGTGTTTATTGTGAGGAAATAAAAAAAATGTAAACAAATGAAGTACTGGAAGGTAATAAGATGAAGTGGTAAAACATATGAAATGGCACAAGTATTTTTTATACTGTTTCATCTTCGACCCAAAGACTATGTCCATTTCTCAATCCAACTAGATTGAGTTCCATTATCTTCAACAAGATACAAGTATTCTTTACCAAGCCACTTCTGGCTAAAAACCAAGTATTCTTTCACCAAGCCTCTCCAGGCTTAAACCCAAGTATTCTTTCAACAAGTCTCTCCAAGCTTAAACCCAAGTATTCTTTAAACAAGCCTCTTCAGGCTTAACCACTAAGTATTCTTTTAAACAAGTCTTTCCTGGCTTAACCCTTACAAATATATTTGGCAAGAGTTACACAAATAACTTTGTCACTTCTAGACGTAGTGCTATAAAAATTTGGCACAAGTAGTCTACAAATAATTTTATACAAGATTTGTTATAAAGGTCTTCGTCGTAGAGCTTCAGCTACTTATCTCTCACTGCATGAGTTTTGCTTTGTTGTGATGCTTCTTTACTTTCAGCGCTTTGTTTTTGTTTTTGTTTGCTCACTTTTTTTACTTCATATTTTGCTTATCCTTATTCGTATTGTGCATTCTTACTTTTCTCTTAGTCCTATTGGTTTTTTGTTTGAGAGCTTGACCTTTATATAGCAGCTTCAGAAAAGATGTGACCATTGTAGCAACGTTCAAATTTCATTGAGTTGCTTCGTCTGTCTTCTTAGCTATTCTTTAAAGGGTGTTGTAGATGCATTTAATGTGAATATTAAATAATGATCAGAGATGTGTGTATCTCCTATTTAATCTAGGCAGCTACTTATCATCTCTTTCTTCTGTTTTGACTGTGATAGAGTGGTATCAAAGCAGAGCCATTCTTTTAGTGTCTTGTCTAAGATATTCGAGATTTTCTATTTCTATCCTGACATAGTGATTTGACATTCTCTTTTTGAAAGCTTTTGTTTTCTTTGAAAAACTTTCCTTATTTGACCCGTTAAAGAATAAAGTATTAATGCTTCCTCAAGGAATAATTTGACAGTATAACGAGAAATAAATATGGCATTTATGTAACACCTTAGTTTTCATACTTTATACTAATAATATTTTAGAAATTATTTTGATATTTTAATGAATTTATAAAGGGATTTTTGGATGTTATTTAATTATTTATATGAGCTCTATTTTAATTATGAGGTTCATGCTTTTACATACACTACAAAAGAATCATGTTTTAACGACCACCAAAATATGTTGTTATTTAGTGTATTTCAATCGCTATCACATTCAGTGACTAAATTAGAGACTAAAAAATTTTGTCGCTAAAATCCTGGTCACTATTGGTAGTAACAAACGAAATTGTTTTCTCACAAGTTAGCGACCGAATACAGACGTCGCTAGAACTACAAAATCAGTCGCTGTAGTATTAGTTTTCAGAGACTAATATTGCGACTGAATTTTGTGATTGCAATTTCATTCGCCAATAAATTTTTATTTCTTAAAAAAAATCATTTAAATTTAGTCTCTAATTTAGTTGCAATATACAATTGGTATTCCCGTCGCTAAATAAACCATTATTTTAATGATTTTTTTCATTTTCATATAGTTTTGATCGCTAAATCAGTCGCAAAAAATATTAAAATGGCTACGAGATTATTCGGTCGCTAATTTTAACTATTATGTTTTTATTTTTCTTAAATTATAAATTTAAACCTATTAGTAAATGTAAAATTAACAATATATTGATTACACAATTTATAATACTGAACTAGAAGATACTAAAAGACTTGCATGATCTCATCAATGTAAACTTATACTGTATAGTAAAAACTAAATAAAATATAATTAGGTCAATATGATATGCTAAAAACACAATAACATAAAAAAGTCAGAATCTCAACAAAGTAAAAGTGAAATACAACTAAAAATCCTAAAACAAGTAAAATACAGGAGTATAATCAGGAGTTTTCTTCAAAAAATTAGAAGTGAAATACAACTAGAAATTGTAAAACAACTACCACTTGAGGAATTTGTGGCTCCAACTCACTGTGGTTTGTCCACCAATGATAATTAGGCATGAACCCTTTGTCATTAACATGCCACAAAACTTCTTAGTCACTTCTTTTACAAACTCAACCTTCAGACATTTAGTAGCATCCAATCTATTATATATACATCCACATTCGATTCTTAGGAATCTCCTTTGATGCAAACTACCTACAACTTATCATAGGCGAAAGCTTAATAGTAAAGTAAAAATAATGAGTTTAGACCGTATGTACTTGAATGAACTTTTAAGCTTAATACTTGAACTCAAACTTTGTTAGATAATTCAACATTCAACATTATGAATGAACTTAATAATTTTGATCAAGGAATATTCAACTTGATTCTCTTGATCTCGTCTTTTTGTTACAAATTATACAACTCCTTATCAATTTTTATAACAATATTTGAATCACACTTTTAAGCTTGTGTTCAACCTAATGTATTTTGTTCATCTTTCTTCAAGTTGTTTATTGTGACCTTATATTCGATTATTGAAACTTTTGTTGCAATTCACTCCTAACCATTAAAGAGTATCAAGTTTTGGTTTAGAATTCAATCATAGTAAGCTCAAACTTGGCCTTTTGTGATTTAATTGTATTTGAATTTAATGATTCAAGCTCATTATTTTTTGAATTTTAAAGAATATGTTTAAACTCATCCTTTCGTAAAATGAGTTTGGAGTTATCATTTTAATTCTTAGACAATCAACATTGGTTGATATAAGTGATAGCAGTGTCAACTTGTGTCCTTAACCACACTGGCTAGGATTCGAATTTAACATTTTATATTATAAGCTTAGATAAAATTTTATAAAGTGGGATCAAACTCAATTTTAATAATAAGTTTTAGGCTCAAACTTGGCCTTTAATAAAAACTAAGCTTGGACTTTACTTTTAGAGAATACGCTAGAACTTGACCTTTAATTATAAGATTAAGTTCGGACTCAACTTTTAAAGAACATGCTCGAGCTCATCCTTTATAATAAGAGTATGCTCGAACTCGCCTTTTAGAAAATAGGCTCAGACTTGGCTTTTATAATAAGATTATGTTGAAACTCAAGTTTTAGAGAACAAACTTAAACTAGAATTTATAATAAGATTAAGCTCAGACTTGGCTATTAAAGAATAAGCTCAGACTTAGCCTTTAAGATTAAGGTCAGACTTGGATGTCAAAAATAATGGACATAATTGTGTTATATTGGTTATTTGAACAAGTGTGTTGTGAAAGTCAACCTTTTATATCATTATACAACTATTTCAGGTGACTAGTAACTAAAATCACATTGATGGTGTCACTCAATTTACATTCATAAATATAAATAGGATGATTAATTTATTAGTTTTAAAGGTACCATCATGATAAATAAAGAATCAGAAAATTATCAAAAGGAAGCATTATATATCTTTTCCAAACCTCCAAATATAAATATAATGCTAGTCATTCAAAAAAAACATAAACAAGGACACACAGGTAATTTGAAGCATATTAATGGAGGTTCTCTACAATCATAACTTGATAGATAAAAATTTTGTTAAATTAACTTAATGATTCACTTTGATAGCACGTGTCATGCTCATGGTTTTCAATATATACGCAAGCACTTTCTTTACTAATTATTGTCTAAAGTTTTTGAAAATGCAAATAATATAATATAATTTAATTTTCTATATAATATAATATAATAAAAAAATTATACATATGGTATGTTATTAATAATATAATTAATTAAATAAATTTATAATACATAAATTAAATTATTAATATTGTTACAATTTACATGATTTTTTAAGACTTTATGGACATGATTAATATTAGGGATGACAATGGGTAAGGTCCTATAGTATCCGTTCTCATATCCGCGTTTAAAACCAATACTCATATCGAGCTCCATGTCCACATGGATAACAATTTTAATCTTCATCCTTATACTCGTTGGATACTTGTATATCTATATCCGCACTCATGACCCGGATATATATATATATATATATATATATATATATATCTAAAAAATCACGTACATAATCTCCTAGCTAGTCATGTGGAAATTATACTATCAATTTATGAGTGTTATTGATTTTTCACTTAAATTAAAAATTTAGAATATCTCGCATATTGACATCATAAACATGGTAGTCCGCACATTATATAACAATTTTTTCTGATCATTTTTCATTTGAGAGGAAGGACCATACGTATACTAGGGGGAAAAAATGCAAAGAGTGATAAAATTCAAAAAAAAAAAAAAAATCTTCATTGTAATTTTCTTGAATACAAAAATTTTATTATCGTCGTTATAATTTTGTAAAAATAAAAAATAAATTAAAAAAATCTATATTATATATACATGATCGAGCGTGCACCATAAAAATCACTATGGGAGGAACCTCTTCGCAGTGGCTCTGAAAGGACATTTGGAGCTGACGAAACCATCGACAAGGTGGAGATAAGTTGTCAACTGATGACACGTGGCAAAATCGACTCTGTTCAGGTACGGCGAGTCCTTGCTACAAAGGCGAAGCTCCTTCCCAACTTCAGCGTACAGCCACTCTATTTTCTCCATCTTGTTGATCCACCTTTGTACTTCTGCCACGTGTCCACTCTGCTCTCTCATCTCGTGGCCTTCACCCACATGCAACACAAGCCCCGGCACCTTTGTTACAACATCATCTGAGTTCACTATACGTAAAACTTTCGTCCCTTGCTTCTCCAACTGCTGCCTAAAACGTCGGTTGCCGACACGAGGACCGCCGAATGACACGACGGTCGTTGTCATCGACAACCGACTAATAAAGGTAGCCTTGATGTCATATGCCGTAAGAGTAGCCAGCGCTGCTCCAAGACTATGGCCGGTGACCGTTAGGCTCAACGGTTCACCGGCATAGTCTTGAAGGATCTGACTAATCTCTTTTCGCACCATGTGCTGAAGACTCTCTGAGTTTTCAGACTTACATGGTGAGGTGTAGAGATTCAAGAATCCACTTTGAACCATGGGGGTTGTAGTTTGAGTTTGGTCTTTGTGGAAGGTTGTCCATCTTTTGCATGGCATTGGGAGGTGGGTGAGAGTGGCACGCAAATTTTCAAGCCATTCCAAGCATGTGGTTGTTCCTCTATAAGCAATAACGATATCTCTTCGACCTAGTCTCTTGATTTCTTCTTTGTCGTCACACACTGCCACAAATCCAATGTAGCTCGATTGGGTTGTGACCCATGTTGGTGCCTTGTTCATCCAACGAGGTTGCTGAATGCTGGAGGTCGCTGTTAGGTGTTTGGTTACCTTGTAGCCTGTGTTTGGCAAACCACACTCATCCAAAAGTGTGTTATTTGGGAACTTGCAAGAGCCATATGAAGGAGAAGAAGGGTCAAACTCAAAGGATTTATAAACAGCATCCACAAAATTCCCATACCTAAGAATTTCTGCACGTAAATTGTTGTCCAATGGGTCAAGCAAACCTTCCCAATTGTTTAGGCCTTGGTACTCCATCCATCTCTTTCCAACTTTGTTTGAACTCCATGACAATGATGTTGATGATGACAAATCATGACTTTCTAGGTTATTTGTGCTTTTATCTATACTAATACTATGTAGCTGTTTTACAGGTTTGTTAATGACGCTTGTGCACTGAGGTTTTCCGTTGTAGCTTCTTGTTGTGGGGACTAGGGTTTCAGCAGGGTATAGAGATTTCGTTGGGGAAAGCTTCATTGTAGTAAAGTAAGGGTTATCAATTATGGTATCAAGAAGTGAATATAAGAAAAATAATTGACAGCTTGTAATCTTAGTGGTTAGTAGACATATAAAATGTTTATATAGGCATGGACGCAGCCAGAAATTAAAATATAGGAACGACCAATCATTTAAAATGATTTTTATTTAATAAATATATAAGGAGAATGTCCTATAATCTTTATTGAAGGTTATCAAAAATGATATCCACCTTCCTTCTATTTTATAAGCCGATAATCACTTCCTTTATTTTATAATTTAGTTTTTACACACCACCTCTTTTCATAGTGTTATAGTTCATTTACGTCTTAAAACTCATTCTCTTTTTATTATTTGAACTTTTTTTATGGTTGAAAAAGTCACATGATCGTTAGTGTGTGTTTCTGGCTTCATTTTATTATGACATAATACAAATATAAAAGGAATATTATTTACTAGTAGAGTACTACACAAAAGCACAAGTAATTAATTATTTCTATTTAAAAATCCTATTAATAATATTGATCACCCACAATTAAGCTCAACAAACTTAAATAACTCTAGATGCATTAATTAAGGATATCACTTCATAGTCTTAACAATATGCATGTTTCTCTGTCAAATAATAAATAATCAAAAAGAATAATTATGCAACATTTATGAAACTACACTTTTGATTGTATAAGTAAAAAAGAAGACAATCTAAAAAGAGTTGCTTAAATAAAGGCATTAGAAAGAAAAAAAAAAAGATAATAACGAAGAGAAAACATGTTAATGAACTAAGGAGAAAAGTCATGCTCATTAAAAAATATTATTTATTTTTATATGGACAAGTTTTAGTTTCATTTATAATTTAAGAAGTTAAATATAATTAACATTAAGGGAAGTCGTTGTTTTTCAAAAACTAGAAGGATGATTTGTGTCATTTAAGGAAGCTTTAGGAAAAGTCAATACAATTTTTTCATATATAAATATAAATTTAGCTTAAATATATTTTTAGTTATTCAAGTTAAATGTAAATTTGGTTTTAGTCTTACAAATTTAAAATTGATATTTTAAATTCCTATAACTTCAAAAAATCTTATTTTAGTTTTTATACTAAAAATTTGTTAGAAAATCTATCAAATATTGTCGCATAAAATCTATCTATTAATGTTTCTATTGGTGAAAATATTATATTAAACATAATTGATGCTGTATAATTATATCAATTTTTCACTTTAAGATATTTTATTGGTGATTTGAGAGAATAAAATAAGTTTTTTTAAAAATTACAAATACTAAAAACAAAAATTTTAAATTTGAGAAACCAAAAATAAATTTACCCTAATTTTAGTAAAAATATATTTAAATCTATTAAATTTATACATAAAATATTCATAATTACTTGTTTCTTAAAATGTTTTAAGGAAAATTTTTCAGAGAATATGTTTATATAGATAACAAATTAAATATGTAATTTTTTTAAAGCATCCAAAATTATATTTGTCCATCATTAATTTCAGGTGCTACGTACTCGGAGGCTAAGAATAGGCAGCATGTTGTTTTACTTAGTGACGAGAAAAATAAAGAAAATTTAATAAAAGTAGCTAGCGATAAAATGAAATAAATTTAATTGATGTGATTTATAAAAGGAAAAGAGGGAATTTAAAAAAGATAATATCAAATAATTTGTTTAAAAATACAAAAGATACAATTATCTCTACAATAAAGATCATATAAAGAAGAAAAAAAAATACAATATTTTTAAGTAAAAAATAAAAATTCAAATTTAATTTTTCTTTTTTGGGGGGCTGCCAGGGCCCCTAGCATCCCCATATATGGGTACAAGTTATCAAAATTTTAAGATCACGTACCATACGATAATTTTAATAATGGTCTTGATGTATCTATTTATTTATCTATCTATATATATATATTAATAGTTTCTTTTAATCTATATAATAATTATAATAACTGCAATAATGTTCTGCTCTAAGATTCTACGCATACTATTCTAACTTAAGTACTAAGTTGTCCTTAGTGATCCAATAAATGTTATGGTACAAAATGATTTCTTAATACACATAATTAGTTGTATGAAGCTTATAAATTAGCATTAGATATTAGGTGCATTGTGCAAGATTTTCGGCGGAAGAAGAGAGAAAAATGAAGGTAGAGCGTGAGTTGCTTTGCCTTATAGAGAGCAAGTTCATGTTATCACGCACGTACATGGGAGGCTGCTATATCAGAAATTCTTTTGTGGAGTGTTGCCTAACAGATTATTATCTTACACATATCTGTCATCACACATATCTGTCATCACACATCATCGTATTATGAGACTCTCTCATATGTGTATAAAGATCCAACAACTTGCACCAAAACCTTCCAGAGGAAAATAAAAAAATGGGTGGTCCTACATATCCTCAATGGTGGTTTGGTTTTTTCTTTTCTTTCCTTATTTGTTGTGTAATAAACATTCATGTTGCACGTCACAAAGTTAATGTCCAATTTCTAGACTATTCTTTCATGTTTACACTATTCTTTTTGGGTTTAGGGTTGGGTCTAGAATGCCTTTGGAAATAGAAAAATAAAGGCTGTGTTTGACTTCTGCTTCAAATTGTTTTTAATTTGTAAAAATATAAAGAAAGTAACTAAATTTAATTATTGTTTTAGTCCTTTAAATTTGGGGTACGTATTTTTTATCATTAAAATTTAAAATATGTTCTTTTAGTTCTTAAATTCTTGAATTCAAAATTTATTCTTTTTAGTCCTTCTAATTTCAAAACAAAAGTTGTTTTAATCCTTACTTATATCTTTTTTGTCTCAAAAACATGTATTTATAAAAAAAAAATTATTTTAGTCCCCTTGTTCAAATGTAATTAATTAGTTTATAATTCTTTTATTAATGTCATTATTATGAAAACATCATAATAAACCAACCAATATACAAAATTGACTTAATCTGTAAAATAATTATGTTACTACTAATGTTATTGTTAGTTAAAATATCACATTAGATCATCTAATATTATAAATTTTCTTAATCTATCATTTTTCAATTATTCTATTAATAGTTATGAGAGACTAGAATAATATTTTTTGAAATTACATGAACTAAAATGACAAATTTTAAATTTGAAGGATTAAAATACTAATTTTTATAATTTAAGAAATAAAAATACATATTTTAAATTTGAGAAACCAAAAGAATATATACACAAATTGACACAATATTTTTTTTTTTTGAAATTATAGGAACTAAAAACATAAATTTTAAATTTGGGAACAAGAAAAATTATCCGAAATTTGGAGAACTAAAAAATAAGTCAAATAAATATTATCAATCTATGTCTCATTATATCAATGAAATCTAACTTGGTTGATATTGAACAAGATGTATAAGTTATATATTATAGGCTTAATTACACTTTTGGTCCTCCTAATTTAGTGTAGGAACAATTTTGGTTCTCATAATTTGAATTGCTTATTTTTGGTCCATAAATTTAAATAATGGGCAATTTTAGTCCCACAAACAATTTACCATCTAAAATTTAACAGTCGTTAATGATATGAATTTTATGCTAAATAAACATTAATTATATATTATTTAATTTCTTACATGTCAAATTATTTAATATTCAAATTTTAAAAATTTTAAATTCAAATTCGTTTTCTCATCCTCTGTACCCTTCGCTTTGTTTCTTCACCAGCACCCTCGCCAGCAACGCCGTGTACTCCTCCAGCACCTCTGTCACGATCGCCACCAGTATCATCTCTTTCCAACAATCACTACGATAATTTTTTACTGAAATTTTTTTTTAAATTTTTTTTACCAAAACAGCACATGTTCCAATTTATTTACAGAAGTAGCATCATTTACTATTCATGCTCAGAATTCAATTCCCGAGAAACTGAATTTTGAGTAGTATTTAATTTTTTTTTCTTTTCTGTTTGTAGTTTAGGTTGTATGTTAATGTTGCAACTGGAATGACCCATTCTCCGAGCAGAACGTGTAGTTTGTTAATTTTGAAACTAGAACGTACAAGCAGAATGACCCGTTTTGATCTATTCGTCATGTGTGTATTTTTGCATCCGGAATGACCCGTTTTAAAGGGAGAACAGGTCGTTCTGCAAGTATTACATGGAGAACGGGCCATTCTGGATCTAGTTTTACACCATGCTCAGATCCAAAACGCAAAAAATAAAAATTCTATTTTAGTGAAAAATTCTCACTGCCATTGATATCAATACCCTTTTCATTTTGTTTTTAATGTTATTTGAATTTAAAATTTTTAAAATTTGAATATTAAATAATTTGACACGTAAAAAATTAAATGATATATAATTAATGTTTATTTAGCATAAAATTCATATCATTAACGTCCGTTAAATTTTGGATGGTAAATTGTTTGAGGGACTAAAATTGTCCATTATTTAAATTTATGGACCAAAATTAAGCAATTCAAATTATGAGGATCATAATTATTCCTACACTAAATTAGGAGAACCAAAAGTATAATTAAGTCTTTTTATAATATAAGGGTTGCTTATCAATTTGGATAATTCAATAAAGTCGAGAGATCGAATCCAACTAAACAAGTTAAATTGATTTGATTTTCATTTTATCTCAAATCCAATCCGATCCAAATCAAATCAAATAAATATAACCTTAACTAATTTGGATCACATATTTATATTTTACAAATATGATAATTCAAAAATTAAAAAAATTAAATATTTTTAATAATTAGTAACATATTTACACAACTCACTTGGCACTACATACTAACAAACTTACCCATTATACTTAGGGCCAC